ACCCGGGTCAACCTTTGCAGTCCTACTTTGAACTGTACCGCCAATTTACAATTACTAAAGCGGCAGAGGAGTGCGATACATAACATTTGATTTCCTCATACTTTGCATAAAATCAAAACTAGAGGAGATGCAAGGTCACAAAGTCGTACCAGGAATGTCACATAATTTACCTTCTCATACTGTTTAATTAATGTAGTTTTAAATGACCCTCCGTAAAAAGAATTGCCAATCCACTTCACAAGATACCCTTTATAAAGTAGTTTACTATATATCAATGCAAAACGTTTCGTGAGTTCTTTAAATTTTTTTCATTTCCGCTTTCATATAAAACTGTTGATAAAAGCATCTATTTTCAGGTACATAAATAAGGAAAACTATTTTCAGGTACATGAATAAGGAAATCTATTTTCAGGTACATGAATAAGGAAATCTATTTTCAGCTACATAAATAAGGAAATCTATTTTCAGTTACATAAATAGACAAACCTGATTTTAAGTACATAAATAAGGAAATCTATTTTCAGGTACATTAATAAGAAAATCTATTTTCAGCTACATAAATAAGGAAATCTATTTTCAGCTACATAAATAGACAAACCTTATTTTAAGTACATAAATAAGGAAATCTATTTTCAAGTACATAAATAAGGATATCTATTTTCAGGTACATAAATAAGGAAATCTATTTTCAAGTACATAAATAAGGAAATCCATTTTCAGGTACATAAATAAGGAAATCTATTTTCAAGTACATAAATAAGGAAATCTATTTTCAGCTAAATAACAAAGGAAATCTGTATAAGTCTTGTCTAGAAAAATTATATTATTAAACCCAAGTTTTAAAACCAAAATGTATAAGCCAAAGTCTAAAATTTAAACTAAAAACCATGAAATATGAATCATTTCTGCAGAGTAAATTAACTTTTAAGTGAAATATTATATTTCGAGGTTGCGTGTTTTTTACATCTTGAAAAAAGTAACATTATAGGACCGGATGCGATCTAAAAAATCCGTGAAATGAAAAATAAAATGGTCAATCGGACATGCCACTTAATAGATGAAATATGGCTTCAAATTATGTTTAGAGTGTTAAAGATCAACACATTCTTCTAATTATTCTCAGAGCGGGCTAATTAGATCGTATTTTATACTCTCAGATAATTACTTGGTTTCAGATTAATCTTGTTTTTTTGAAGAATTTTCTTATTTTCCATTTTCTTCCCAGAGTTTATTAAGTGGATACCAATATTCTATGCATGTATTTCTGAATTTATATATTACTATTCAATCCTGTTTATAAACCCAAATCTTTTCCTGAAGTTGCAGTCAGATTTACAATGGAAGTATAATAAACTGTGGAATACAGAGGAAGTCGACTTTCAGGCTTAAATTATGATTTTAAAAACTCCAATGAACGTGCATACATCAAGTATACAGTGTACACTATAATCTAAGGGAGGTCGACTAATTAAAATTGGACCAACGTGACTAATGTAAGCGACATTGCTTTTGGGTAAAATTTGACAGATTTTATTGGTATCAAAAAATCCGTCTTGGAACACAGAATTATTAAAAACGTTGTTATCGTACAAATCAAAAAAAAGTTAGTATGTCAAAATACAGTTTTAATGATAAAATTTTGTTAAACTCCAAAAAAAATTTTAATTGTCGAAAAACTAAAAAAAGGCATTGTTTGTAATCAGCGGCATCAGGTGGATTTTTTCCCCCTGAAAGTTGTTCGAGTTGTTATGCTCCAGACAAATCCAGTTAAAGCAATCGACCTTCCTTACTCTACTCTTCTTACACATGTATAATTACACAGTGTATTTTTGTATCGTAATTTTTTTACTTTTCCAAAATATGTGAACATTTATGATATAAATATATGTTATTCCTTGCCACTCTATTCTATAGAGCAGGCTAAATTATTGGAAGAAATTATGACACCTTGGCTTTTCTACTTTTTTTTCTGCTTAAAGAAGAGCACATTTATGTGACGGCAAAATATAAATTCAGACATCTTTATTCTTCTAGAGGAGCTATGGCAAAGTAAAATTTATAATGAAATTTACTTTAATTTGACGTGAACTGAATGTTTAGGAAGTATGTTTGATTTGTATGGAGTATGGGGGGATATTAAACTTTAAGACTTTAAGTACGTTCTTGAGTTTACAATAAACAAATACAGACGTTTTTAATGATGTATTTCAGCGTGATTAAACATATTTAATACTTTCATACTTTTTGTGAAGAAATCTTTCTATGGATTTGAATCAATGTTAATATATTCAGAGTCCGAATTTAATGAATTTGAGCCTCGTCTCAAATCCGCAAAAAACCGGTTTCAATTGAGCGCCGGCTTAAATCTTGAAACATTAAATACAATTTTAAGTGGAACCAACCATATTTGAGTCGCGACTCAAATTTAAGCCGCGGCTCAAATTCTTTAAATTCGGCCTCTGATTACTTTTTTCAATCCCAAATCTAAGAACAAAAAAATTAAGACAGCATTGTTTCTTTTAAAAAAGGTTAATTTAAAATTTTTACACTTAAAAAACGCTATCGCATTTAACGGATAAATTACAGCTATATTGCACACTCCATTCATAATAGAGGAAGCAGCTATTATTTTACCGCACATTGTGTAACTGTATTTTTTTCTTTGAATGTGATCGATATATCTAATGGAGCAACAGCGTTTTTTTGCAGTGTATAAAAGTCTATGACGTTATTTTGCAAAGGTGTATAAGGAATCGAAAATCAGAGTTTGAGATAAGTGTTCTAAACGCCAAGATGAAGTATAAGTATCTAACAGCAGCTGCTTTGAATAAAACTAACGAAGACAATTAATATACATGACCAGTTTTTTAACCTATTTATATTACAGACAACATTTTCTAAAGTAAATTTTCTATTCAGAAGAAATTTCAGTAAAAAAGTTGAATAAATTTGGCAGATGATATAAAAATATGTGTTTATAATACTTATGAAACCTCCATATCTGAAGTAATTCATCAGTATTATTTTTGAAAAGTGTAATGTTAATTTGCATTTACTGACAGAATTTGAGAGTAAAACGAAGGTTAAAATAACCCCCCCCCCCCCTGACTCTGTCCATCATAGAAATGTTAAATGGCATTGACTTGGCTTGGGTTCGGCCTGCTACAGGGGAAAACTGCCTGCCTACTACTACTGCCTGTTCAGCAAAAATATACTTCAGTATCCCTTCGGAATTCGAGGATTTAAACATTTTTTCTAAAAAATCGAAAAAGATATAAAACAGTATCGTACGTTTCAATCATTTAGCTGTTCATTTGTATAATTAGTTTTGGTAATTTGTTGTTGACTCTACATTTTAAATTATAAATAATTCTGATATTCTACTCCGAAATAATTCCGGATATTCTGTTTTCAAATCTTTCTTTATATCCTATTCCGAAATATTGCCGTATATTCAATCTAAGCCAAGTCCTAATATCCTATTCCGAAATATTTTCTAAAATTCTGTTTCCAATTATTTCCTGATATTCTATTCTGAAGTTTTTTTTTATTTACTTTTACGAAAATCTTTATAATTATTTTTCACTATAATTTCGTTTCGCCAAATTTGTTTTAGTGTACATTTATTCCATTCCTACGTAACTTTGCGATTTTATTTTAAAATTCAAAATGCAAAAATTTGACAATAAAATTTTTACTCTTTGAAAAATTGGAAGAGAAAAAATATAAATCCCTGCATATATGAAATCCTACAATTAAATTGGTGATGGGATAAAAAAAATTAGGATGGCATTTTAACTTTAATATTAATAAAAGACAAAAAACCTGCTCTTCACTAATGAGAGATTGCAATAATACGAGCCACTGGGATAGAACTTAATTTAAAACCCATTAGTGACAAGAAGGTCAATTTTGACCGGGTGAAGTTTTTTTTTAAGTGCCTTTATTCTTTAACTTAATGTCGTCCTGTCTTTTCCTGCGCTTTCCTTAGGATTCCATGTTTTGAAAACATATTTTATATTTGAAGTAACTTTAAAATTGTTTTTTTTTAAATTTTCAATTTGAAAAAAACCCAAAAAACAAGATTTTGAATTCGGAAGAAACCCAAAAGAACACCCTGTAATTTAGTGTTGAATCTATAAAATTGTCAATTTTTTTGCTAGAAAAAAGGAATTGAGTCTTTAACACAAACTCAAATATTTAAACCCCAATATCTTTAGAACCCGATGTTGTAAACCTTTGATATTTCAAACCCAGATTATTTGATCTAACAGACTTCACAGTTTGAAATATCTAAAGTTTACAACATTTGGTTCCAAAAATATAGTTATAAGAAAATCAGAGTTTTTGGCACAGACTCAATTCCTTTAAAGACATGTTTGGAAACTTCGTTTAAAGATCTAAATAACTAAAACATGAAAAGTAAAGTTTTGAAGATAATTAGATAATTATGAATTGCCAAAGTTTTTTAGATTTTCATGTTTTACAGGTCACCCTGTGCAAAAGAAATTTATAATTTGATTGAATATTGTTTTCTCATGAGTACAATCGAGTTTTGTTATGATAAGATCCTTCTAAAACAACTTCTCTAATAGTTAATGGTCTCGTCACTAATGGGTTAAGAAATAAATTCAATGATCAAAGTTTTTACATCTCTGTACACTGTACTGTAGAATATTTCTTTTACCATACTGTTGAATATTGATTGCTTGTACCGTACTGTTGAATATCACTTTCTTTTACCATATTGTTTGTACCGTACTGTTGATTATCACTTTCTTTTACCATACTGTTGAATATTGATTGCTAGTACCGTACTGTTGAATATCACTTTCTTTTACCATACTGTTGAATATTGATTGCTAGTACCGTACTGTTGAATATCACTTTCTTTTACCATACTGTTGAGTATTGATTGCTTGTACCGTACTGTTCTAAATTGATTTCTTGCACCAGATTGTTTAATATTTATTTCTTTTTCTTTTACCATACTTTTACATATTGAATTCTTGTACCGTACTGTTGAATATACCAGACTATCAAATGGAGATCCCCGTACATGACGTGGTTAACACTGAGGAGGAAACCTTCAGAGCATCCAGTGGATCATCACAGAAGGTTAAATGCAATTTATTAATCAATCAAACAACCAATCTATTATTCAATTTGATTTTTACCATATATTCTTCGGTGATCAAATATAAAACATTGATCAACTCACAAATATGCAAATAAATTAATTGGAAAACAAAAAATACTCTGATATTGGTGAAAAAAAGCTAAAAAAATGTTTGTTTTTTCACGCTAAAAAAGCAGTCTCTTTAAACAATAGAAATAAAATGACCTTAACTTTTGTCTTTTAGTTTGTTTTCTTATAAAAATAATCCTTATTTTCAAGGTTAGGTGAGGGAAAAGTAAATTTACTTTTAAAATACTTGAAGTTTGTTTAGGATATTCATCATCTGATTCTATATTTTGTAAGATAGATTCCCCTTTACCTAATCCTGTTATCTGCAACGTCCATACAGGGTTACCCAACAAGAGGCCTATATTCCTATATTCAAAGATTGACAAGGCCGATTCTAAACGCTACCGTTAAAACATCCAAATTCGCCAAATTTCATCGTTGTCTCTCTGCATTATAAATCCGCAAGTCACATTTTTAAAAAAATCTCAATCATGAAAACAATGAATTTTCGGCTAGACAAGAAGCAACATCTCATCATCTCATTTATCCTTGATCAGACAAGAAACAACATCTCATCATCTCATTTATCCTTGATCAGACAAGAAACAACATCTCATCATCTCATTTATCCTTGATCAGACAAGAAACAACATCTCATCATCTCATTTATCCTTGACCAGACAAGAAACAACATCTCATCATCTCACTTATCATTGATCAGACAAGAAACAACATCTCATCATCTCATTTATCCTTGACCAGACAAGAAACAACATCTCATTTATCCTTGACCAGACAAAGGTTCAAAGAGTACCGTTTTGAATTCGTCGCAAAGATCGTCTTAAAACAACAAATAAACAATTCATAAGTTTTATGATTTGTACAATTGAAAACATTTAAAACTGACTATTTTCATCCCAAAGGATTTATTTGGTTTACTTTTGGCAAAAAATATTTTAAAATCGTGAAGTTGCACACTGTATTAAATCTCTTAATTTAATAGATTATTTTAGAAAAAATTCATTTAAAAAAAAGTCACGTTCAATCTTTAATAATCCCTGTCTTTCAAACGTGGTAATAAAACTATCATCAATGTAACAAATATTGGGGTCAACTTAATTTCCATACAGACAAATATTTTTACGAATTTTAAAGATTTATTTTAGATTTAGGGTTTCCAACAGTTTACTTACGGAAATGATTCGAAATTTTTTCCCGTTTTCATTATGGAAGAGGTTTTAAAATTCCAGATCATTATTCATTGCCTGAGTAATTTTTCGTAAACTTGAAATTTTCAGAACCCTGTTCCGGAACTCCAGGACATTACGGAATTATTTCGGTGGAAAAACATTTCGTAAACCGGAATTCCGGATTATTCCATTTCCATGGAGATTTTTTTCCGGAATTAAGGAAACCCTAAAAACTTAGATATCAGCAAACATTGAAAAATTCACACTAGTTTAACTATAAAGTATAAACGGATTGTGCAAATTTACGTATTGCAGTCGAGCAAACATTAAAGGAAAGCATGTGACGGGAAATTTGCAAGAAATATTTGCAGATATTTTCTATATACCTATATATTATGCCTATTAAGGGGACTTTCAGGAATTTGAGGCCGAGTGACTTAAAATCAGATGTTGCAAGAACTTTCTTTTTAAAGCATCTATTTGATATTTCATAGAAATCATTTTGAATATTTAAATCTCGAAGGAATGGACATTAGGCATAGAAAAGATAAGGGGGGGGAGATATTTTGGCTTAAGTTAGATTAACACAATTGTTGGGCTGAGCACCGCAGCTAGGATAGAAAGTGGGGCCGAGCGCTGTTGCTACCAAGATGTGTATTTATTATTCAGATTTTTTGCGTCAAATTTGGGATAAAGTGGAAGGTTTTTTGAAAATTTGTATAATATTAAATAAAAGCTCTGTGGACAAAATCCTTTTCATTTTAAAAGTGCGCTTAAAAAATATTAAATCATCGTAGTTTATATATCATCATTATTTAATTAGAAACTAATAAATTTTATAAGATAAAATGCTTTCTTACAAAATCTTTTTCATTGCAAAATGAGCATGTCAAAAATCTGTTTAGCCTTAATAAAGAAGAGGGGGGTGGGGCGGAGAATGAATCTTATTTTATAAAAAATATTTAAATTTTTAGGGATTGATAACTGTAACTCTACGCAGAGAGAATACGAACCAACCTTGGGGATTCAGACTTCAGGAACATTAAATGAATATATATTAATTAGTAATCTCTGCTTGTTTGTCCGATCATAACTCAGGAATATCTTGACCAATTTGCCTCAACTTTGGAGGTTAGAACCACAAACATGTATTTATCTTTTTCAAAGTCTAACATGAGTAGGGTTGACTTTAATAGAGAACTTCAGTTTCAAGGTAAAGCTAGATTTCCAGGCTAGTACAGGGTGTCCCACGAAACATGACAGTATGCAGGACGACTTGAATGTCGTCTTGATTTTTGATATAATTTGCTGCGTTTATTTTTCAACCTAATTTTAGAAGTAAATTTCTAGAAATAATAATCACAAAATTTCCCTTGTCCTGCCATTTCCAAAATGTGGTCTGCCGTTTTTTGTGCTTCCAATATTGCCCGAGTTATGAAGAATTTCGTTCAGATTTCGACAATTTTGCTTTTATTTAACAAAATTGAAATCTGAACCAAACTCTTTATATCTCCAGTAATATTGAAAGCACAAAAAACGCAGACCACTTTATGGAAATGCCAGGGCTAGGAGAATTATGTGATAGTTGTTTCAAGAATCATACATGTTAAAGTAGATAGAAGACTAAATGTCACAAATAAATTCAAATACCAAAGACGACTTTCAAGTCGTCTTGCTATTGTCATGTTTCTTGGGACACCCTGTATCTAAATAAATAAAACATATCCAAAGACGACCTTTTGTGTTATTTTTTCACATGGACACTGAAGATAGATCGATGATGGAGATTTCTCAAAAGGGAATAAGTAGCTGAACTAAGAACGGCTGGTTGAACTAAGAACTGCTGGTTGAACTAAGAACGGCTGGTTGAACTAAGAACTGATGCAATTATAATTTAAGTTTCCTGGCCTTCTATAGGTTCTTTAGGCACAGTATGGTCCAAAACATTTTTATGCTAACAATTATTCGACTGCAAAAATTTCCATCCTCTAGAATTTTATCTTAACTCTATGTATTCATTAGTTCTTGTCTCCAGGGTGGCAAAGATCGAGGTCTTCCCTTCCAATTGTTAAAAGTTCCTCTTGACAGTGTAGCAAGCCATTGTGGATGTCAGGCAGAAGAAAAATATATTATATTCCTTACTTATATTCGGTTTTAAGAAGAAAAAAGTTTATAGAATTTTAACTTGATTATGGAAATAGTATACGTCATTCTCACCTTACACTGTACACACTATAGTTTACAGTCTACAGTCTACAGTCTACAGTCTACAGTCTACAGTCTACAGTTACAATTTTTATTTTACAGTCTACAGTCTACAGTCTACAGTCTACAGTCTACAATCCACACCTTACACTGTACACACTACAGTCTACAGTCTACAGTTACAATTTACATTTTATAGTCTACAGTCAACGGTCTACAGTCTACAGTCTACAGTCTACAGTCTACAGTCTACAGTCTAAAGTCTACAGTCTACAGTCTACAGTCTACAGTCTACAGTCTACAGTCTACAGTCTACAGTCTACAGTCTACAGTCTACAGTCTACAATCTACAGTCTACAGTCTACAGTCTACAGTCTACAGTCTACAGTCTACAGTCTACAGTCTACAGTCTACAGTCTACAGTCTACATTCTACAGTCTACAGTCTACAGTCTACAGTCTACAATCTACAGTCTACAGTCTACAGTCTACAGTCTACAGTCTACAGTCTACAGTCGACAGTTATACAGTCTACAGTCTACAGTATACTGTCTACTGTTTACTGTCTACAGTCTACAGTCTACAGTCTGCAGTCTACAGTCATACACTCTACATTTACACTTTACATTTTACAGTCTTCAGTCTACAGTCTACTGTTTGCAGTCCGCAGTTTTCAGTCTGCAGTCTGCAGTCTACAGTCTACACTCTATATTCTACACTCAAAACTCTCTCTGCACTCTAGAGTCATTAATTCTACATTTCTATTCTACATTCTACACTCTGTACACAGACACTCTAGAATCTACATTCTACTATCTAGACTCTAGACTCTAGACTCTAGGTTTTGCATTACACTCTTCTAAGTACATATATACACACTCTATGATACGAGAGTAGTTTTTACTCAACACTTAGCAATACAAACACGTGTACTTTGTTATATTTTCAGGGTTGCCTTGAAGAATTAAATGTAAAAATGTAAAATTTCTGTGAAATTAAATCTATATTTTCACTGTTCTGCTAGACCGGAGATTATCTGGTTAAGATCTGCGGAGAGGAAGTGTTCTCTCTAACCCATGATCAGGCCCTCAGTCGGATAAAGTAAATTTTTTTCATCATTTTTCTAATTGTAGCTTTTTCAACTTGATTCATGATTATCTTTACACCAATTCTTCTACTTTCTTTTTAGTATTTATTGATTTTCTCGCTCTTTCTTAAAAAGTTTAAGAGTCTAAAACCAAAGAATGCGTGAAATTTAAGTTAGAGTTTAAAAGTTCTGTAAAATAATGAGTTGCTACTTAAATATTAATCTTTCTCAATATAACCCTGAAGGGAAATTTGAATTTCCATGGAAAAATCTGAACCAACCAGAGAAAAGGATTTAAGGAGAGATATTACGTAACCATTGCTCATCAGATTTTTTTAAATTTTAAATTTTTTAAACATATCTGAAAACAAAACATATTTCTAGTTACAACCGTTTTTTGGGTTTACATGCAAAAGTTAATTAATTTAAAACATAAAATGTATTCAATCAAGGTAATCACTTTTAAATATAACTTAAAGTTGAATGCCGCTTTCTCAGCTGAATGATGATTGATTGATAGACTAATTTGGGAAATGCGGGATTTCAAGATTTTAACCCTGGGTGTAGATTTTAACTCAATCAGAAGTGGCATTTAAGCTGAAACTGAATTTAAGTCGGAACTTTTCATTCTTTTGTTTTAGACTCAGTTCTACTTCTTTCCTCGCTTAAACTCCGGCTCTTTTTCTCGTTTTTAACCACATTCTCTTATTTAATCAACTCTTTAGCTTTTTCTTTCACGCCTTCTCATTTGAACTAATTTCTCAACCTTCTCTTCTTTTTCTTTCTGATCCATCCTTCTCCACTGCCTCTCTTTTCTTCGTTTTCTGAAACTTTTTAGACCATCTCTCATTTTCTATAATCCTTATCAAATTCAGTGTCTATTCATCCCTATTTTCCTAAGTGACCTATTTTTCCTTTCTTTTAACGTACATTTCTCACTTGACAAAGGACAATAAAGTCTATGATTCTCCTTCTAGTAGAAACTAATTATTCTAAACACGCTAAAATAAGCCGTGCTGTACAAATTCACATTAATCAAGTTTTTAAATAAACGAAAAATCTCCAACATTAACATTATTTAATGTTTGTGGGTTTAAGTTCTATAACTGGGAGTTAAACACAATTAAGAAATATACAAAATATTTACAAATAAAGTGTTCTGCAGTTTGTGGGAGGAGTGTAAATAAACATTTTTCCTACAGAAACTGAGTTACACGTTATTAGTACACAATTAGTGTTCGGTCCCGGTTTTCAGTCTAAAGCTGACCAAAAGTCGGCCCGGTAAAGTAGTTTAGTTAAAAAGGGGTTCTTGGTATATTTTTTGAATTTAAAACTACTGTGAATGGATCTGCGTATGAGTAAAGATAATATATTTGTCTCATGTTTCTTTAAACCCCACCATTGTAAAATAAAAACAATAGACGGGGGTTAATTAAACACTCATGTGTCAAGAAAAGATGGAAATTAGATAATTAAAGATTATTTTGTGCAAATAAGCAAGGATTCATTGCGTTAGGACAATTTTTTTGAAAATTAGATTTAAACAAATTATAAAGTACAAATTAAAATATATATAGTTTATTCTACAGTACAGGTTAACTTTACTGTACTGTACTGTACTGTACTGGACTGTACTGGACTGTACTGTACTGTACTGAACTGTACTGTACTGTACTGTACTGTACTGTCCTGTACTGTACTGTACTGTACTGTACTGTACTGTACTGTACTGTACTGTACTGTACTGTACTGTACTGTACTGTACCGTACTGTACTGTACTTTGCAATACTGTTTGGTACGGTACTGTACTACACTATATTGTACGATACTGTACTTTACTGTACAGTTGCACTTTATTGTATTGCACTCTAGCTGTACTTTATTGTATTGTGTTGTAGTGTACTGTACTGTACTGTACTGCTTCCTAGGAAGGCTGGTAATGAGCTGAGTATGGTTGTAGAACGAGGAGAGAAGATCTGTCCAACTATAAACGAAGCTTTTCCTAAACAGAAACAAGAACCCGTTGAAGTTGACACTAAACCTAAACCATATTATCAACAGGTAAAGCGACCAGAAACAGCTTACATATTCAGTTTCCAGATAAAATAAATAGTTGAACTATATATGGCTAGTTGAACTGTTATACGATCTAGTTCAACCATCTGATTTATAAATTCCGACATCTCATCCTAAACTAAGCTTTTGATTCGCTCTTACAGAATAGATAGTTGGAGTTTTAGCTATAATAGAGGAGAGTCCTCTGCATGCTTTGACCATTTCTACAGGGTGTCCCACGAAACATGACAGTATGCAGGACGACTTGAATGTCGTCTTGATTTTTGATATAATTTGCTGCGTTTATTTGTCAACCTAATTTTAGAAGTGAATTTCTAGAGATAATAATCACAAAATTTCCCTTGTCCTGCCATTTCCAAAATGTGGTCTGCCTTTTTTGTGCTTTCATTATTGCCCGAGATATGAAGAATTTCGTTCAGATTTCGACAATTTTGCTTTTATTTAACAAAATTGAAATCTGAACCAAACTCTTTATATCTCAGTAAATATTGAAAGCACAAAAAACGCAGACCACTTTTTGGAAATGCCAGGGCTAGGAGAATTATGTGATAATTGTTTCAAGAATCATACATGTTAAAGTAGATAGAAGACTAAATGTCACAAATAAATTCAAATACAAAAGACGACTTTCAAGTCGTCTTCCAATTGTCATGTTTCGTGGGACACCCTGTATGTGCCTGGTTGCTCTATTTTTGTTGATAAATTGTGTCTAATGTTAATATCTCAAAATTGATATCTAGCAATGAAAGTTGAAATAAAAACATAACGTAACGTAACATTAGATGCCAATAAACCTTCACGCTTAACGTCTAAAATGAAAAATATTTGTCTCATCCATGAATCAGATGAAGAATGTCGTCTTAATTATTTCAATTCTTTGTGTTACAGGGATATTCACAAAGAATGAGACTTCGTATTTAATTCGAATAAAATCAAATCATATGTTTTCTGCATTAAACTTCATTAAACTTTGGAAAAGGATAACGACTGCTACATGCAATTGCAATAATTCAAGTCATGATTTATTATGTAAAGATGGCCAGGCCCGTATAGCTAGAAATTTAGAAGGGGAGGCATGTAGTTAAAAACGGGATTGATGAATGTAGGAGGGGCTCACCACTGCAGTCGTAAAATTATGAAACCAGCCTGTTTCATAATTTGGTTTTCTTTTAATATTAATTTTAGATTTTCTATAAAATGATGTTCAGGGCCCAAAAGGTTATATAGCACTTAAATATATGAAGTACACCTGCAGTATGGAAACAGTACAACAAAATGGCCGTTTTACACTTTTTTCTAGTAAATTCCACTCTAATATATATTCTATATTCTTTGTCTTTAAAACTGTTTCCGCTATATTTTTATTTTTACTTTTACTGTGATTTAGGTTTAACTTTTAAAATTGTCCAGACGACGTTTTATAAATTCTTTTGATGTTTCCGAAGTACCGGGTTAAACTGTAATAACATAGGTTCTAGAGAGAACAGGTGAGATGCCTGGACAGAAGAATAAAGGATTCACAACTGTTGGAAAAGCCAAGATGGCGACCAAACAGTACAATTCTCCTCTTGCTATGTACAGCGAAGACATTATTGATGAAATCATGACTCAGGTAAAATCAAGGTTGTATATAAGGTTAGATACTCTGGATGCGTTCCAATGTAGGTAAAATGACACTGTAAAACCTCATGACGTCACTGAAACCTAACTAACAATCATCACATTTCACAAATACTGATTGTGCTAACAAGTTTGAAGCAAAAGAATGCAGTTCTAATTCAAGTTTTCAATTTTTGAGGTCGCTTATATTTTGTGAGCCGCAAAATTTATTATTCTAAAATAAGCAGTGACGTCATATGAGGTTTTAGATTGCCAATTGCTATGACGGTCGTCTTTATCTACATTGGAGCGCATCCAGAGTTTCTTACCTTATTATACAACCTTGGGTAAATCAAAAAAATATTTTCAGCAAATATTTTTTATACAATTTTTATCTATAGCGACTAAAGCTTGTTTCAATCTTTCATTAATTTCTAATTTTTAGGATAAGATTGTTTTCCCGCTCAAAAACTGATTTTATTAATGGCAAATTAAAATAATTTAGGGAACAGCATTGGGAAAAGAAATTGATCCCGGAAATCCGTGGAATATGACCGGAAAAACATTTGATGCCGCAAAATCCGGCGTTCTATCCGCCATTATGGAGAAGGAGAAGACGACATTTAATCATCAGCTGTCATAACCATGCTTGTTCAAGGATTATCTTACAATGCAATCTTTTTATTGCTCTTATTTTGTTCAGAAAAGCTTCTGGAAACTTCCCAATGCAAAGATTATGTTTTGGCTAAAAACTGTCCGTGCAATGAATTATTATTCCTCAATATTACTTGTTTTCCTAAATGTAGATTTGTGTTGTTTTATGGGTTTTTAATAAAGAAATTTTTAATAAAAGATTTCCATTTCTACAGGTTTCAACTCGAGTTAGTATCATCAATCTCATATATACCCATGAAAGTGTTACTGAAAAAGATCTTACTATTCATTAACTATGATAATTGTTTTTTCAATTCTTCAAATAAAAATCAATTTTCCCAATTTTTTTACAAATTATAATCAATGTAAATAAATGAAAAGAAATGTGAAGTAGGTTTAAAAACAAGTTTTAAGTGATAAAAAGCTTATTTTAAGTGGTTTAAAGCAGAATCCTTTTTGTGCTTCAAAATTGACAATGGGATAGAGATAGGAATTGAGTCTTTGCCACGAACTGCAAATCTTTAGAATCAAATGTCGTAGACCATAATTATTTCAAACTATGAATTCTGTTAGATCTTTAATAATCTAAATTAGAAAAATCAAAGGTTCACAATATCAGGATTCAAAGATATAGGGATTAAAAATTTTAGGTTGCAAGGACTTAATTCCTTTGTCTAGATATCAATCTATTAAATAGAATAAAAGTGATTAACTATCTAAAATCTAATATCTAATATCTAATTCTAATATCTAATATCTAATTCTAATATCTAATATCTAATTCTAATATCTAATATCTAATATCTAATATCTAATATCTAATATCTAATATCTAATATCTAATATCTAATATCTAATATCTAATATCTACTAATACTAAGGCTGATATTTTCTGATGCTATTTGACATTTATTCATAATTCAAAAATCAACTTGATATCTGATAATGATAATATGTACTTTTTTTGTATTATAACAGGGTTACCCAAAAAGGATGAGACTTCACAAAAAAATTAAGTTTTTAGTCTTAGATTTACTGTTCACTATTATTATCACCTAATATACCATTAAAAGACTTATGATTAAGACAAAAACACTATTTCAACCTTAAAATAGTAAGTTTAGAAGAAATTAAGGTCCTAGCTCATTAAAGTTTCATACTGTGTGGGTATCCCTGTAAATAAAAATATTCAAATAAATTTCCCATTTAATCTTATTCTGTAGCCATTCCGCAGCATTTTTCATGCTTTACAAAATGATACGATTTTACGATTCCTAGGAATTTGAGATTTTTAAACTATTATTTTCTTTAACCTTGACGTCAGGCCTAGTAGTTTGAGAGTACACAGGAGAGAGATCGGACTTTCTTTTTAGACATATTCGTTCTGTGTTTATACTCTTCAGTTCTTTATACATGCACAGTGTTTAGTTCAGTTCTCTATACATCATGCACAGTGTTTAGTTCAGTTCTCTATACATCATGCACAGTATTTAGTTCAGTTCTCTATACATCATGCACAGTGTTTAGTTCAGTTCTCTACATCATGCATAGTGTTTAGTTCAGTTCACTATACATCATGCACAGTGTTTAGTTCAGTTCTCTCCATCATGCACAGTGTTTAGTTCAGTTCTCTATACATCGTAACAGCATGCACAATTTTTGAATGATTAAGTGTGAATTAGATATTCATGTTTTTGATTTTTAAAACCGACGATTTTCATTTGTTATTTCTCTACAAAAGTGACAAGGGAGAAATTAATAGAATTAAACAGTTTTGATTGCAACTAATTCTAAAAGACAAAGGCGTAACCAGGGGGATGGATGGTAGGAGGAATGTCTCATACAATCGTTTTACTTTAAATAAGAAAAAATATTGAATCGTCTAGCCCCTCCCTCCCCCCCCAGCCCCTACCGCACAAATTCGTTTTCTGCTCACCGAAAAAATTTATAAATTGTCGTATTCTTAACTTACTGATAGTGGAAAGCTATTTAGTTTTTAACTTAATCAATACATGGATTTCCTTAAGTCTGTTCCCCCATATTCATTATTCATGGCTTTTTATTTATCTTTACAATTACTTAGATTTAGATATAATAGTATATAACGCATTAAAAATTTGTCAAGACGACATTTTATGAATTCTTTTGATATTTTCGAGGTTTTGGATTAAACTGTAGTGTATTCTAAAAATTATTATTTCTTCATGAGTTTTCCAAAATGTAGCCAAACCTCTTTGAATCTTTAGAATTGAGTGAACAAATTGATAAACAATGAGTTGAAATCTGATCAAGTTAATAAGTCAATTTTTCCGTAAGGTTTGCCTCGGTACCAAATTGTCAGTGCACACTTTTGCTATCTCAAAACTAGGATTTTTATCCTCGCCCCCCCTTCATATCCTCGACCCCCCTTACATATCTTGACCCCCCTTCATATCCTCGACCCCCCCCCCCTTCATATCTCGAAGATGATTTATAAAACACATTCAAAACAATTACAAATTGTGAAATGTGATACGGCTTATCAATAATCCGGTCACTTCCGACCATACAATCTATCTATCCATCCAACTCTATCTATTTATCTATCTATCTATCTATCTACCTATCTACCTATCTTTGAAGAGCTTAGAGCATACAGTAGTTTTATTGTAAACAAACAGCAGTGAATAGTGATCCATTCTTTTCTACATCCAGGTTAAAATTATTTTTCCAACGACATCCCAACCAGGGGGGGGGGTGATAGTTCTTTACCTGTGTGCACAGTTAGCTGTACGGTACACTTACAACTGTTTACTAATAGTGATATACAGGGTGTCCCACGAAACATGACAGTATGCAAGATGACTTGAATATCGTCTTGATTTTTGATATAATTTGCTGCATTTATTTGTCAACCTAACTTTAGAAGTAAATTTCTAGAGATAATAATGAAAAAATTTCCCTAGTCCTGCCATTTCCAAAATGTGGTCTGCATTTTTTTTGCTTTCAATATTGCCCGAGATATGAATAATTTCGTTCAGATTTTGACAATTTTGCTTTTATTTAACAAAATTGAAATCTGAACCAAACTCTTTATATCTCCGGTAATATTGAAAGCACAAAAAACGTAGACCACTTTTTGGAAATGCCAGGGCTAAGAGAATTATGTAATAATTGTTTCAAGAATCATACATGTTAAAGTAGATAGAAGACTAAATGTCACAAATAAATTCAAATATCAAAGACGACTTTCAAGTCGTCTTGCTATTGTCATGTTTCGTGGGACACCCTGTACTAAAGGTTAGGCCAGAATCTCCTTGTAATAATCAAATATGCAGTAGTTCCCGGCCTATACAATTAGTAATTAGGAATAGCGCGACATCATCACTATACACTATAACTTCGTTGATCCCAACCCAATACCAGATTTTATTTTTCCATTTGATTTAATTAATTGCATCTTTATTTTGCAATTAATGGAGTAAATATGTATACTTTCCCTTTCCTGGTATACGAGACTTCCAGGGAATAGGAATAAAGGGAAGAGGGAAATGACGCTGGTCTGGCATGAGAAACCAATCGCACTGCTTTGCACACAAAGAAAATAGAATATATATTAGAGCGGAATTTACTGGAAAAAAGTGTAAAACGGCCATTTTGATGTACTGTTTCCATACTGCAGGTGTACTTCACATATTTGCGTTATATAACCTTTTGGGCCTTGGAACATCATTTTATTGAAAATCTAAAAATATTAAAAGAAACTCAAATTATGAAATAGGCTGGTTTCATAATTGACCAATGATCATTTCACATAGACTCTATGCCTTTCACTTTACAAATGATGATTCTCCGTTATAACTATAAATCAAATGATGTTTTTTATTCACCTAATTCATTTTATGAAGTTTATTTAACAGCTTTAAAACATTTGAAATTGAAATGGATAGTCTAGGGAACATACTGTATTATTGTACTCTACTGCATATAATTTGTGAACATTTACATAATTTGTACACTTTGAACTCCCTTTCAGGCTGAAAGGGACTGACAAAATTTATACCGAAGGATTGTCTAAATTCCACTCTAATATATATTCTATTCTCTTTGTTTGCACATGAGTTCGGCATTACACACGCACACTTTTTTGGTACAGACACACAACATGACTACAGTCAAGGAAATTACAGAACAATGTCGTCTTCGCTGTTCTACCCTTAAAGGATAAGATTGTAAACAGGCAGTATTAAGTTGTCTCTGAAGTTTCATCCTGTGTGGGTAACCTTGTAAGTTGAAGAAATTCATCTTTGTTTGTTTGTGTATAGGTGTACTGCTAAATTCCACAATGGTTCATCGAATTAAAAACAAGAAGTAATCAGTCAAAGTCCTGCTTACTCCTAGAAAAGAAGTTTATGCCCTGGGTGGCCTCTTTTTAATTTATGGTGAACATATCCTGAAACCCATATATTCCCAGCTGAGCTGCAGGAGTAAAATTTTCACTATTTTCTTATGGGTATAAAGTAAAATATCAACGCAGCTGAGTACACCTTTCAATATTTGCGAATTTTGTGCTATGAAGTTCCCGCATTCTTTTGAATGATCATCTTCCAGCCTTAATATTTAGGATTTTCTTTAATATGTACTTTTTAAAAATTTAAACTTTATATTGCATGTTATATAATTATCGTGTCGAGGGTTATCTATTTTTTTGAAAAAGAAAGTTTTTGGCTCAAATGCTTTATACCTCGCCTCCCTTCAACCAATAGTTATTAAGAGATAATGAAACCACTTAGAACTTAAAATGTTCTTGTTTCTTTGTAGAACAACTTAATCTGCAAAAAATGCAAAAATTATTATTGTCTTAAATGTGATAAAAAACTTAAAAATGAAATTTTTTGGTCTGAAGTAGAACTTTTTTCAGAGTCTTCTGATATGTAGAAAAAAGCTCAACAAACTTGAAAACAAAAGGTAGGATTTTTTCAACTTACCTTTAACTTTCAAGCTTTCAATATTACTGGAAATTATAATATGATTTGATATCAAGAATTCGACAATTTTGGTTTTATGTAATAAAATTGAGATCTAAACAAAATGATCAATATCTCGGGTAATATATTTGACAGCACAAAAAAGGCAGACCACATTTTGGAAATGCAAGGACTAGGAGAATTTTGCAGTCATTGTTTCAAGAATCAAACATGCGAAAGTAGGTCGACGACTGAATGTCCCAA